CCATATGTGACTGCTGCATCTGATGGGTGCACTGAACTGCAGAACTTCAGTTTGGAGGTGACTCTCTCCAGTTCCAATGGAAATGGCAGATATCTCAACACCAATATTCCTGTAACTGATGGCAACAGACCCAAGAAGAATTTTAACATCAACCAAGAATGAAACCTGTGGCTTTTGGAGGACTGGAGCAGGATTCTTCTCCACACTGTTGAGTACAAACTATCCCATTTGATACTCAAATTCACTTTCTGCAAAGTATTTTTCCAGGTGCAAATTCTTCAGTTTGCAAACAATGCCTCTTTCTCAGTTAGTTGTGTCATTGTTGTTTACAAGAGGTAAAATTTTGTCCAAGAATATAAGTAAATGTAATTTATCTCTTTGTACATAGCTCCCAGGACAATTAGGTTTGTTATGTAACTTCATGAACTACACATTTATATGGGAATCTAAGATAAAAGTTTCCATCTTGTCCAGATTAATGGCTGAATTCTTCTGTATTTCATTGGGCCAGTTCTTAGAGAGGGATTATTTCCTTGTTAGAAATAAAGAAACCATCAGATACAGACTCATACTTGACTCAGAACATAAGTATTATGGACCACAAGATGCTATTTTAAGAAATTACTGCTGAAAGAATAATAATTAAAAAACATTGAATATCCCCTTTTTTGCAAAATATGTAATGAAGTAAAAGACAACCAGAGAAATAATCCCTTAAAAAACACCCAAACATTAATAATATTTCTAAGCATCTATTTTTTTCACTGTACTTGGATTAACTACATGTTTAATTTACCACTTTGTGGACCTTCATATCCACACACAACAGTACCATGAGTGACAGTGACCATAAACTACTTCAGAGTAGTATATGTGGAAATTATATGCTAGGTTCATTGCCATTACAAACAAATGACACCTAGATAAGGTTGCTTGTCGCCCACTGTGCTTTATGCTTCATGAAGTTTATGCAGTCAGCCACATCAACTGGATACATAAGCAGAAGCATACAGACACAAGAGCCTGTCTGCACTATAAGAAAGCACTAGCTTTCAGTAAAATAGTTAATTTAAAATACATAGAGCTTTGCTGAAAGACTTTTCCATGTCTATATGCAGTTCTTAAGGAGAGAATCTTCACACCACACTTTTAATCACACTTCTATAGCTTTTACCAAGTTGTGACCAGGGTGGCTTATGCAGAGGGAAAACAGAAAATAGTTGTAGAATTCTAGTGGTATTTTGCAGCTTTGGGGCCCGTTCTCATATTTAATTCCAATGAAGTTAGTGCAGAAGACCTTTTAAACTGGCTACAATCTGAACCATGATTCTGTTCAAATGCCACCAGAAATCCCTTAATAAAATTGTGTTCAACATTGATTCCATTCAGAGATGATGGTGCCACAGAGGATTAGTTAATCTGAAGTTGCATACTTATCTTAATTCTGTGTTTCTAAGCTGGTGTCCTGAAAGTGCTAAGCTAGAACAGGCCAATTTTTCCATTAATTCATTTATACTTCATAAGGATTATGCAGACAGCAGGATCAGTTGAGTAAGTGAGCACAGGCAGACAAGCAGGTGGAAGAGGCTTCAACACCAACCAGCTTGCTGTAGAATTTGGGCGGTGTGAAGGACCAAATCCCTAGTGAAGTCATGCAGAACTTTGGCTGAAGAAAATAGAACTTTGACTTCTAGGTGTGCAATGTTGAGAAGAGTTCATGATCCCACACTGAAATAATTATGAACAATGATAAACTCTTTATGCTGGAAAATTTGCTGAAATTGCAAAATAGGAATATTGCAACAAGTGTGTGTGTTTCTGGCAGCATTAAGCCTGGACAACTCACTGAGATCCAGTCACTGAGTATGAGCTGCTTTTGACTATTTTCTCAGCATTCTAGTTTAAGACTGAATTCCTTCTGTACAGGATAAGGGACTAAGCTTCTCCCTCCATACCACTCCTCTTTTTCTCTACTAGCCAGCAGAGCTGTTATCTTGTAATCAAAGAGTATATCAGCATCCAAGAATCCACAAACAGGTTACACCTGCAGTAGAAAGGTGCCTGGGCAAGTATAAACACTGCTCACAGACAGCCTTTGCAGAAAGGACCACACAACTGAAATATGTCCTATTACCTCTGGATCTGAGGTACCACTGGCACAGTTTTTCAGCCATTTGAAAAAAATGATCTGCCCAACAGCTACAAGGCAGTGGGAGCCATGAGGTGTCTTATTCTGGAGGAGGAAGAGTTGTTTTTAATACCTTCTTATATAAAGATGTGATAGAGACAAACAGACATGGGAAAGAAATGAGACACATTTTAAGACAGTATAGAAATGCTATCACAGGATGCCAGTCCTTAATGGTATACATAAAGGTCTTCTATTCCTATAAGCTGTTGATGCCAGTTACTCTCTACTCCCTACCCGCCCTCAGTGGGGCAGCAGCCTCTGCTGCTGATGCTCTGAGTGCACCAGAATACCCTTAGAGCTCTGAAGGTCAGGTAGGAGTTTTCTTTTTTTAGTGTGGGAGTTGTTACACGAAGATGGTATGAAGTTAAAAAAAAAAAAAAAAAAAAAAAAAGAAAAAGAAAAAAGTAGTGTACTAAATAGAGACTGGACTTTGGTCTGATTCTTGTTTTGAAATGTCAGATCAGTGAATCTGGGCATTGCAGTATTTTCCAAGTGCCTGCATACATAGCCCTTCCCTTAGATCACTCCTATGTATGATTGTGCTTACTTGGGAAAGAATTGCCTGTTTTGAGCACTGTCATCAGAAACAAAAGCATTTGGTGACTCCTCTGGAATAGATTGTACTGTGGAGTCAGCTCTGTATTTTGGAGCACACGTTTTGATTGAGGTCAGAATTTGGGTTACAAATTTGCTTTAGGTTGCCGTTCTGTCAGTAGAGGGCACCACAGTTATGTATACACACCCACCTTCCACCAGAGGAACCAATGTTAGAGATGGGCAGCACTATCGTTAAGACAGGTAAGGATTCTACACCAGTAAAGGATCTTGAATACATAGACAAGTTTTTGCTCTCAGTGTGAGAAGCTCACTCTAAAAATCGCTAAGAGATGTTGCTTGCTGTATGGTTAAGATCAAATACTGCATGTAGCTAGGACTTAGGACAATACATGAGTAGCAGACATTGCAACTCCTAGTATCCTTCGTTTATTTCATTAACACCTCACTTTTTTCTTCATGATATCACATAATATTAACATTCCTAATATGAATTTTGTACTGTTTTCTCTACCATTGTTTTATGTCAAGTCCTTACTTTCTAATCATACACTGTTACATACAAACACATATAACAGGAAAATAGTAAAGGACAAAAGGGGATGAGTGAGAAACAAACAGTGCGGAGCAGAGAAAAACAGACAAGACAAAATGTGCTGAGACTTCTGTTACACAGATGTGAGAATGGCATTGCCATTGTGAGCACAAGATACATATAAAACAATGCTGAAATAGGTCACAAAAATGCACTGAAACTTCATGAACTCTTAATTGCACAAAAAACTTGAACAAACAAATGATGATTATCTGAAATAATTTCTTAACATTCATTCCAGTCCTCTAAAAAAAAAAACAACTCAGCCAAACTACAGAAAGTTGGTTGCTTTCTCCCTTCTTGTTTTTTTTTCTGCTCTAGGTTTGGACCTTCTCTCTCTCAGTATCTCAGAAAAAGGATGTTGCATTTTCACTCCTTCCTTTCTTTAGACATGTACACTTCCAGCAACACTGAAGAATTTTCATGTAAGTTTCCTGCAGCTCCACTGTATTTAAATTGTGTTTCTCCTAACTAGTTTCAAGATTTCTAACAGCAAATGTGAGCTTCCCAGCTTTATATAACAGCTAGAGATCTCTTCCAGCAATAACTATATGTAGCTGTGAAGGTCCTTACACTCCAAGTAATAGTGAAAGCCTATAAAGTATATATTCACTTAGCAATTAGGCTGACACTTTATAACTACTTCTATTTTCTGTATGAAATACTATGCATAAGCAAATTAGCCTTTTTATTCTGGCATGAAAAGGCAAACTCATAACAGCATCTGAAAGCCATTGGTACTGTTGATATTGCTGCATTAGAAAAAATAGTGTGTTCACATAGCTGTATGATGTCACTGCATGCTGCGTTGCTATTAGAGAAGAAAGATTATCCCCATTCTGGTCTTTGCATGAGAATGCAATGAAAATCTGCACCAGTTACAAAATGGTCAGGCATCATGGCTCCTTCAGTGCCAGAGTTTCTGGAACCTGAAGAGTTTTGCAAGATGTAAAAACACACCATTAACATCCTGCTGATTGCCTTTACGGACCTGTGATGCAGATGATCAAAACACTGATGAATTCCCTGGCTTTGTTGAAATCACATAAATCAGATAAATCCACTCCCATGAAGAGACATACAAGCCCTTCCCTGTTTGTGACTCATTGCTTGGTGTATGCTTTCCACTCAGGAGTTTCAGCAGGTTATTGGAAAAATCCTGTACCAGGGTGTGTGGGGGGTGGTGCCTCCACAAAGTTAATATTAGCATTCCTCTTGGAAGAGGAGAGCTTTAAGAACTGAGCACACTGTGTCTGTGTATACTACTACAGAGAGCACGAAGTCAGTGGGCAGGTACCGTAGGCAGAGGAGAAGCAGGACTGTCACTGTTGCGCACGTCGCGTGCCCAGCGCTGAGCGGCGAGGATGCTCTGCAGCAGAGGAACCTTCGGTGCACTCAGCCCTCCAGGAGTGACTGCACTGTCCAGCAGCAGCCATTATTCAGCTCTGAGACTGACCCTTTGTATCCCATTCTTTCTTTTACTCTTTTAAAATTGAGGAAGAGAAAATTTACAGATCCATGGGTTATTCCGGCTGCAATTTTCCACTGTGTTTTCTTTTTTTCGCTGTTTTGTTTTGACATATGTATCTTTTTAAATAAATATATATGTTTTGGTTTTTCTTTTTTCTTTTTTTTTTTTTNTTTTTTTTTTTTTCTTCTGTCGAGAAACATCACTTTCCACTAGATGGAGACAGGACACTGGATCACTTTGTCCTCCAGAAGGACACTGACAATCAGGAACACAAAATAAAGCCCAAACATGAGGAAACCCAGGATTTTATTCATCTTCCACTTGCAGGAAGCAATGGAGAGGATGACAAAGAGCAGCATGATGAAGAGGAGGACAATTGCACAGAACAGACCATTGCTGCTGACTGTCACTGGCGCAAAGCTGTTAACCACAGCAAAGAGGAGCCATGGAAGAGGAAGGCTGTTAAGAAACAGAAAAATTAATTTAAAACATTGCAGAAGTCCAGAAGGAAGGACTAGGAAGTTTCTAGTGACAAATCAAAACACAACCAAAGGCTTCCTGCACAAAGTGAGGCAGGAAGAGGTTCAGCTCTTCTAATAATTGCATAAATGTAAATTGTAAGCTTTCTCATAGTTCTTGGGGAGAACACATGGGATTTTTTACTCCCCACTCTTCCACCAATTATACTGGTGAATTATCTTTCCCTTGGCTGTCAAATCACGTGGCATCCTGTCTGTGAAGAGGAAAACCCCTTTTGTTTGTTTTTAGATTTCACACTATCTGCAGAAGCTATTTGCACACTGTTTCCAAGAGCCTGCCTGACACGTGAGTGGAAAGAAACATGTCCTTGCCATGAAGAGCCAGCACTCTGCAAGGCACTGCCTGCAAAATTTCACCCTTAAATATCTTTGTCCACATTTACTGTATAAACCTCTGTTAAACTGTGAACTTCAATTGAACTTGAGCTTAACTTCTATTTCTGTGTCTGCTGTCATTTTATTTCTCATCTCTCACGCCACAGAAGGAGACAATATCCCTCTGCAAGATGTCAAGCTGAAATAAATATTTAAGACACTGATTGGAGCTTAGCAGGCTTAGAAAGCATGAAGTGAGTTGTCAGAAGCTCACAAATTAAAACTTTGAATAAGCAGCTCAGGAAAGAATAATTTATTACAGCTGCAGTACTAACTACACCAGTCTACAGCTCAACTATGCCATTTCTGTTGTAAATGTAGCAGACTGGTGCTGGACAAAACCATGTCCATTGGCAGGAAGATTAAATATTTTTTAAAAAGTAAGAAAGCACTGTAACAGAGAAATAATTTTGTAATATATCCACTGTACTCCAAGCAGGAGGACATGGTTTTCATGTATTTTATTGGTTTGCTGCATATAGATATTCAAAGACTTAATGCTCCTGGATTAATAGAAAATTGGCCAAGTTTTCCTACTATGTCTAAAGTACTGTGATTAGCTAACAGATAAAGTAAAAAATATAGTTACTATACATTCTAACTTCAGAATCCTTTTTTGCACGTTTGTGCAGTTGCTTGTGTATTTTCAGCTGTGAAAACCAGGATCTCTTCTACAACCAGGCTGCCTGGAACTGCAACTATGACTAGACCTGTTCTTCTGTTTATGTGTGATAGCAAGAAATAACCAAATATGGTTGAAAGTATGGACATGATTCTCAGTACCTCCATCCTGTGTTGAAGATGGGAATGTGGGAGCAAATACAGAATTTATCTGTGTATTTCCTGCACAGTTTTAAAACACCAAGGCACAGATTACTCTGTTTCTGAACCTGATCTACCTTGGTCTCAAAAGTTCAAAAAAGAATTTGAATTACAACATTATGCCACAAATCATTACCCTAGAGATGTCATGAAGCAGTGAAGTGTAAATAAAAAACTTCTGCACAATCTCATTGTAGTTTCACATTGTCAGAGCTATAAGAATGGTCCTTTTTGTTAAAAGAGAATTGGTTTGTAATTTGGGACTTGTCAGGTTTAGAGAAAAAAATTAATCACATGCCAACAGCAGCCTAAACCAGTTACACAAGACAATGACTTTCTGTTGCTATTACAGCAAATATGTTGAATACCACAGAGGCAATGAATTGTTCCTGATCATCATTTATAAAGAAAGCTCTAGTACAAGCACAATGAGTGGTAACAGAAAGCAAACAGCAACCTCACAAGAGTACAAAAAGCTTTGAAATTCCTTTTCAGTACAATGCCCTTATACAATTTTAAAGTGCAATTCCCTTGCCTAAGCCTCTCTGTAACAAAACAAAGATTAGGCAACAAATTTATAACATTTCTTCATGCAGATATCTATAAACTTTAGAGCACTTGCCATACCTTCGCTTCATATTTGCATTACTCTCCTTTTTAAAGATTGCTGCTTGTGGGCAGTACCACAGCAATGTACTGAGAACAAAAGATTTCTTTAAAAAATACACAATTTTCTTGGTGTAGAACTTACCCCACTGTGATGTCAAATATGTTGCTTCCAACAGAACTGGATACAGCCATGTCCCCCAGACCTTTGCGTGCTACAATAACACTGGTAATAAGGTCAGGAATGGATGTGCCAGCAGCCAGAATAGTCAATCCCATGATTTCTTCAGTAATACCAATGGTCTCTCCAACCTAGAAGGGTTTAAATAAAACCATAAAAAAGTGTCCTGCAGTTTTAAACTGTCCTGGACTTTCCCACTAGCTTGGAGAATACCAGGCAAGATAGAGAAATTACTATCTTCATGGATTTCCCCATGTATCAGGAGAAAGGTAAGGCTTTCAAATAGGAGTATAAGGTATTGACAGGCAGTTGCTCAAGTCCTGTGGTCAGGCCAACCTGACCAACACCTCTCTGAACTATCCATTTAATGAGTACTGATTTACTTAATCCATGGTTACAGATCCCAAAATAAAGTAGCACTCAGAATGAGATAGATGGACTCTGATTAGAAATGATCTTTTACAGCGCAAAACATAATACAGGGCTTTTATTTTGTACCAGTGTCACCTCCTTACCTGGTGTGCCCACCAGACCATCAAGTAAGAAAAGAAGGCAATCCAGCTGATAGAGCCAAAAAATGTGATAGGAAAAAATTTTCTTGATGTCTGAAACAGAAACAAGGAGAAACAGTGAAAACCTATATTGAGGAGTAACATGCCATACTCTTAATTTCTTCTCAATATGAGAGTGGCTTCTCATTTTTTTTCTGATGGCCTGTTCTAATCAACTGTTATCATCATCATCAGATGATCAAGATACCTGTCAAGAAATGTAAGAAACAGATGCCCTGACATTGGTATATGAGTACCTATGCCTCATTCTTCCAATTGCTTCAGTTATCAAATAAGATTTCCTAAGAACTTGTATGATGAATGGGAAGTTCTTGGTTTCATTTTTATCATAATTTGTTACGATGCTGTTTGCATGTCTTTAGCTCAATAGTGGTTTGACTTCTAAATTTATTATTAATTTCATGTTTCTTCAGAATGAATGTTTTCAAATTGCTTCAACAGGTGCCCATGTCTTTCCTTCCTGCATTAGTAACTTTTTCAATAAATTTCACAGTCAGTATAAAAAAGACTGTCATATGGCAGAGCTAAAAACTTATACACCTAAAATTTATTATGGCACTTACTCTGCTAGTGAAAACTACTCACTTTCTCAATAGAAGATATGTTAAGCACATATTGTCCATGCTTCATTTAGTAGAGAAATTTAATGTTACAATGTTATAAAAAATATACAAAACATACTAGCAGAGTCCTAAAAATTTGCATGAATAACCAATAGGACTGCCTGTGGAAGTAAGTTATACCATTCTGAATGGCTCTTGCAGCTGCTTCTCAGTCCTGCAGTACTTCTCATTTGGTCCTAAATCCACTTCCATTCCAGAATTTCCCCCCCACCTTTCATTGCAGATCATGCCCCTACTGCACCAGGAGGCTCATTAAGATTGTGGATCATTCCTAGGTGTTGTGGAAGTGTATGGGATTGCAGGGCTTTCCCTCAGTATGACTTTTGGAGAGAAAATACCATTTGTTCTGATTCAGATTCTTCAAGGCATAATAAACACTTATTTTTTTAGGCAGTTTACAGAGCTGCACAGTCAGCTTTCCTTATATAACAAACTCAACAGGCATTTGTATGAAACAGCTTCACATTTAGGAACTGAGCAGCACGGAATCACAGGGTGGCTGTAGACCAAAAGATGAACAGTGTATTGGGACGGCCATTAGAGCTGGTCAAGCAGGAAATGTCACTATGTTTTGCCAGTTGAACCTGAAAACAATGAGGTTTGTAGCTCAATGAGACTGTAGACTTTGTGCAGATATAATGGGAATCAGCTTGGGACATTAACTGATACAAAAAGGTAAAGTCAGCAATGCCAACTGTGCACACTCATCCACAGCATGGGACAAATAGTAGGTCCATATCTGCTCCAGCAGCAGGTGCAGCTGCTGGCTGTGCTACAGAGCACTCACTCACTCCCTGTGTATACTTTGCATAATGCTAAATGTCCTCCTGAAAACTAAGCATGCTGACTAACATGACATACAATTTCACAACTGAATATACACAGGAACACAGGAAAAAAATGGTACAGATTTAACACTACCAGAGGGATGGAACACATCTTCTGTGAGGAAAGGCTAAGAGAATTTAGATTGTAGAGCCTGCAGAAGAGAAGACTTTGGGTGACCTAATTGCACTCTTCCAGTACCCAAAAGGTGCCTCTAAGAAAGATGGAGAGAGACTATTCACAAGAGTATGTAGTGACAGGACAAGAGGACTATAAAAGTATAAAGAAAGAAGGTTTAGATTGGACATTAGGAAGAAGTCTTTACTATGAGGATGGTGAGGCACTGGAACAGGCTGCCCAGAGAAGATGCAAAAGCCCCATCCCTGGCAGTGTTGAAGGCCAGGTTGGACTGGGCTCTGAGCAACCTGGCCTAGTGAAATGTGTCCCTGCACACGTCATGGGGGTTGGAACCAGATGATTTCTAAGATTCCCATCCAACCCAAACAATTTTATGAATCTATGATTCTAAACTCCCTCATAATATAAATAACTGTTCATCTGTTGGAGTAAAAGTGGTCCAGTAGGTGTTTTATACCTTAAATAACCACAATATGGAAACATCCTTTTCATATAAATTCCACTACTGTCACAAGCATTGTTTTTAGAACTACTCACAGTACTTTGGTTGCTCTATTTCTTTATTGCTTCTCAACACATTACAGAGTTACTTTTCCAGAAAATATGATAATGAGCTTATGATTTTTAAAACCTACTCAGATAGAATTTTAAGTTTAAACCAAAAATTTTATATGCATTGGTGAGAGAAGACCTTAATGCAATTTGAAAGAAACATATCAATGACTGTTATAATGATCTAACATCATGGGAGCAGAATTAAGAGTGGTAGAAATAAATTAATCTAAATACCAATTTCTCTTTTAAAACTAAGAAGTTAGCACTATTTTTTCACCATTCCTGGTAGTCAACTTTTCCAACTTCCAACATTTTTCATCTTCCTTGAAAAAGCTCCAATCTTTTGGCAAGACATATGGTTAATGAGACACTGAAGCAATGAACTTGCTAGAACACAAAGTCTGTGAAGAGCACCTCACAGCAATGCAATTTGAATGATCACTGCACAATACTCAAGATTTAAGCATACACTGGCTTAAGCAAAACTAATACAACCAGAGCCATGCTGGTCAGTAATAGCTCTCTGATGGTGCAATTATATACATCAAATGGTTCTTGCAAAACAAGGAGATACTGCCTATCTGAGTCAGACACCCACTGAATTTGGATGGCTAAGAATTACGAATCAGTAACTTTGCAGCATGTGTACTCCTCGCCTGTTTTAGCTAATCCTCTCCCACTAAAATTAACTGATAAGCAGCACTCCAAGATACTTTAATAGGCTTAACACTTAAATTACCTATTTTAAAATGGGGAACATTTAAATTCAGAAAGGGCAAAATTTAAAGCCTGTACATTTTACAGGAGATTAAATAAAAATGGACTCTATAGATGCTGATATATAATATGCATATAGATGAAAATCTGAAAAAGCCATAACCAGAATGCTGATTCTTTTTTGTATGCTGGATTTTATTCCAGACTGTAACAATAATATCCATGCTTGTTTTGTAAATAGTTTCAGCATTCTTTTGAGATTTATGTAATTTCTACTCCCTAGCTCTTTGAAAAACAGACAGCTGCCAATTCTATGTATTTTCCTAGAAGAATTAGTCAGAGACAGCAGACAGCAATACTTCTTTCAGTCTTTCTTCAGTAGTTGTTGTGGTGTTTGCTTTGTAAAGACTGAGTTCAGAGTTTATTAGCAATTGGCTCTTTTGTGGTCCTAGTAACAGATAAATGAGAGAAGCCATGGCTCATTCAGTTCATATGCTATTTTCCTTTAACAAAAGCAAAAGGATTTTGTAGTTCCACTGTAGATTGGATGGATTGATTATGTTCCTGTCTATCAGAAAGAACATTCCTGTCTATCTTAAGAACATTTTTCTTGATACATTTCTATATATTTATTTAATGACAGGGTCTGAAAAACAGGGTTATAAGTAGTAAAAAATAATCCAGGTATGAGGGCTTTTCTTCTGAGAGTTTGATCCTGGAAGGTGCTGAATAATTTGGAAGGTAACTATTTTAATTTTAGTCAGCATTATTACCAACATCTTTAATCTAAATGATTCACATATTTGTCTTGTTCATAAATGTATCTGCATTGCAAAGTTTGATCTTTCTTTCACACTTAACAGTGCTTAACTCTGATTACTCAGAATCTGCTCTTCTAACTGGATCTGTACAGGAACATGTTGTCCTTGTCCCCTTGGTAACAGTGCATCTCTGTATGGCAACAAGAGTTCATGGAAGTTGTAGCTCTTCATTTGTAATGGGAATTTGAAGAGATAGAAGGAACTCCCCTATATGGGTCCAGTGATGGCAGAACCCCAAGAGCCATCTTTCTGGCCTGTAATGGACAGGGATGGACAGTGGAGTAAGGTTATAATAAAAGAGGAGATGGTCAATATCTGCTCCTGACCTACTGGGGCACCTTGGTCACATAATTTTTCTTTCAGTCTTTTAATATCTGTTACTCCAGGAGATGGGCAGTTACATAATGTGACCTTTACAGAGCCATTGGGGAAAGAAGCCATTAGCACAGGAAAAATAGCCATTATTGTTCAAAACACCTGAGCAAAAGCTCAGGAAAAAAAATTCCCTAAGGGCACACATATACCTCTGGGATATGCCAACAACATTATTGATGTTATAGTAAGGATTTTAATATATACTGGCTTAATGTGAGCAGGTGTTATTGAGGCAATAAACACATTAAAACATCTCAGCTAGTCAATCAGCTGAAAGCTGAACTAATGCATAATCTACTTTTAGTATATAAAAATCTGCATATGTGTGCACCAGAGCATAATAAGGCAGCAGGATTTTGCCAACTTTAGAACCAGATACCTTGTCTACAAAATTATTTTTCTAGAGCTTCTGGGTTTCATGGAACTAAAAGTATCTCGGAATAGTACAAATAAATGCAGGGAAACCATCTTCTTTTTGTGTAGACAAAATATACACTAGAAAAATAACTCTAGATAGAAATAAGAACTTACTGAAAAGTGGACACCCACAGAGGATGCCAAAGGCTCCATATGGTCTTTCAAATCACTATATAGCACACAAGCATTCACTTTATATATGCATATGCTAATCTGAGCATCCTGATGCAGAATTTGGGTTTCTGACTAAAATTAACACACTTGCAAATCAAGCCCCTGATGGTAGACCTATCTAAAAAGTCTAGTTGAGTGTTATTTTAGGTTTGCTTTAACCTTTATCTCACAATTTTCATTGAAAATTGTTTTCTGATGGGCATGCGGAGTTGTGATAGCAGACATAATTTTTGTTAGGAAGGGATTAGTGGGGATGGTACACAGAAATAAGAGAGAATATTTTGAAGATACATTAATGAAGCATACTTAATGTTAGATAGTTTATGCAACCATCCAGTTAATTTTTTAACAGCAATGTTCAAAGTAAGCAGCTTGTCATACTGATACAGCCCATTACCTCTTCTGTTAATCTACATGTAATTACAAATTTTTTTTTTTTTTTTTTTTTTTCCCTTTTTTTTTTTTTTTTTTTTTTTTTTTTTTTTTTTTTTTTTTTTTTGAGCAGTT